AATGCAACTCGTAAAAAGACAGTATAAGTCATTATAATCAGTAATTATGGATGCAACAAATGCCTCGTTTATAATGGGTTTTAATGTTTTTGTCTCGTCGCACCGGGACACGGCATCACAGCATGGTAGGGGCGTAACATTTCCGTCACACGCTTGAAGTATTTGGCCAATCACAACGCACTGGATAGCTGGCCAATCACAGCCCACCTCGCTTTTCAGACCTACAGCTTTGTAAAAATCGACACGTTTCAGAAAGGCGGGGCATAGAGGAGAAACAATAATGTACAGAATGTGGAAAATAATATGTTTTTTTAACCTTAAACCATATAAACACATTTCATTACACCAAATACACAAAATAATGTTCTTTTTTAGCAACGTCATATGACCCCTTTAAGACTATTGTATCTTGAATATGAAATATTTTGTCTCCCTGCATTGGCAGATTTTTTTCTATTTGTTTGAACTTGTTTGTGCTTAAAGTAAAAAAAAACAGCAGTGAAGTAAGACAAAAATACACTTTAAGATAGTATTATAGACCCGTTTAATTGTAGCAGCTTAGAAACTTGTTAACATGACTGTATTTGGATAGATGAAACCCTCCTTGAGGAATAAGAGATGTTTCTGTGTGTGTTTTGAGACTCACAGTGAATCTTGAAGTCCTTGTACTGCCTGTCTTCAATGGCCACCACATATAGAGCAGCCCTGTCTGGGAACATCAGACCTCCAGGTTTCTAAAGATGAAGAGCACAGAGTGTTTGCTCATTCTGTAGAGACATGGCTATATATACAGTACACACACTCACGTGTGCTTTCTTTACTACACACACACATAAACACTGACCAGCCACTTATCTCTGGCGTAGATGACTGTGTTGAGCATGGACTCATAAAAAAGGCAGTAACCCATCCACTCTGAGATGATAATGTCCACCTGATCTACCGGCAGCTCCGTCTCTTCCACTTTCCCTTTAAAGATGGTTATAACTGGAACACACAGACAGGATAAGGCCACAGAGACACTTGACAGATCTTTTCTACTCTTTGAATTTTTAAGGCTAGTTAAATGCCTGTCTTCAATGGCCACCACATATAGAGCAGCCCTGTCTGGGAACATCAGACCTCCAGGTTTCTAAAGATAAAGAGCACAGAGTGTTTGCTCATTCTGTAGAGACATTGGCTATATATACAGTACACACACTCACGTGTGCTTTCTTTACTACACACACATAAACACTGACCAGCCACTTATCTCTGGCGTAGATGACTGTGTTGAGCATGGACTCATAAAAAAGGCAGTAACCCATCCACTCTGAGATGATAATGTCCACCTGATCTACCGGCAGCTCCGTCTCTTCCACTTTCCCTTTAAAGATGGTTATAACTGGAACACACAGACAGGATAAGGCCACAGAGACACTTGACAGATCTTTTCTACTCTTTGAATTTTTAAGGCTAGTTAAAAGATGTGGGTCAAACCATACGTGTATGAGAGAGAGACTCCAGCTAAGATTGCAACATCACTTTTTGTTGAACTCTCCTGATCGAAAATATAGCATCATGTTATAGTGATAACTTGTTCTAGCTAATAGAAGGTTAGAATTAAACTATTAAAACGTGCTGTTAAAGGCTAACTGAAAACATAAAGAAAGTGAAATGTTTAATTTGACCTTTGACTTTGACATGTTTTCATGACTACGAGTAATCACACTATGCAGCAATTTTTCTCTCATTTCTAAGCAGGCACTGATTGAGTACGATTGAAAAATATGTTTAAGCCAATAAAGTCTCAGTATCAGGAAGAGTTTTATTTATTTATTGAAAGAAATTAATACTTTTATTCAGCAAGGATATATTAAATGGGTCACAATTTATAGTAAAGACATTGTTACAAATATATATATTTCTAATAAATGCTGTTCTTTTAATACATTTCAAAATGTAATTTATTCCTGTGATGCAAAGCTGAATTTTCAGCAGCCATTACTCCAGTCTTCAGTGTCACATGATCCTTCAGACATCATAATATGCTTATTTGGTGTTCGAGAAAAAATTCTTATAATTTTCAATGTTGAAAGCAGTTGTACTGCTTAATATTTTTGTGTAAATTGTGATACCTTGTTCTTTGATGAACAGAATGTTTAAAATAGACAACAGTAATATTTTACAATAGTAATGTTTTTATTTTATTTTTGCCATGGTAAATATAAAAGTCTTCTTTCAAAAAAAAAAAACCGGTAAGAATGGTAATGTATTTTTTACTGGAAAACGAGACAAAAATTCGCATTAATGTATTTTTTTGGGGAGGACAGTGTCCTTGATAGTCATTCTATATTTATATTTATTATAAGACATACTAAACATTTACAATTTAAATTCTCTCTTAATATTAAAATACTGCAGAGGTTTTAAATTATGTATATTTAGGAAGCTAAATAGAAGAACGCTCGACAATCACTCTTTATCCTGTCAATGTTTCATCCTATTTGTCATTCTGTTTTTCTCACACGCCCACATAAGCAAGCTATCTACACAGCAGCAACACACACTTATACATTATCTACACACATCAATCTGCTTACCACTGTCCAGATGATTGGCCTTGATGATTTTCTCAGAGTATTCTGATATACTTGAGCATTCAATCTGAGGATGGGAAGAAAAAAAACAGAACAATATGAGGATTTAAACTTTCTAGTTGGTTGATTCTGGTTTAGCTGGTAGACCTTGCATTACCTTCTCTAGCCTTACATCCTCTTTCAGACAAGACATAGCATTATAGAAACTGATCTGTCTGATTTGGTTAATGTTAAAATACTTAATTCCTAGTAAGATTGGCTTATGAATATTAAGCAAACTTAGAAATATTTTTGTTTGATGTTTTATTTGTTTCACTCCTTCTATGCACTGTAGCGATATCAGAACTTGCCTGACAGTATCGACACCGGTTCAACCAATGGCGTGAGTTTGCGGCTGGACTTTTTGCTTTTCTGACAAATGTCACTAATTTTGCAGTTCTGTTTGGTAAGTCAAGTGGTGCTAATATTACACATTTCACATTTAACCAGCTAGACAGATGTAGAAGTTTGTGAAAGTGTGTATTTGTATGTGGTGGACAGTTGTAATTGTTACATATGCTTTGTTACATAAACTACTATTCAAAAGTTTGGGACCAGTACAAATTGTTTTCAAAAAAGAAGTCTGTTATGCTCACCAAGGCTACATTTATCTGATCAAAAATACAGTCAAAACAATAATATTGTGAAGTCTCATTACAATTTAAAACCACTGTGTTCTATTTTAATGTATTTTTAAAATATATTTTATTCATGTGTTGGCAAAATGTTGAATAAAATAATTAATTTCTTTGAAAAAAAAAAAACATACAGACCCCAAACTTTTGAACTGTAGTGTACAGTATCTTGTTTTTGATGGATTACACAGACGGTGTCCTTCCCCTTAAGAGTCTCTCAACATTGAGAGCTTATGATTCTTGCACCTTGCAGTCCTCTGATCAGCCTCCAGCCACCCTATTTAGCATTCACAAACAGTCCAGATTCCTGTCCCGTTGTCAGAGAGAAATATACGTAAACGAGCACACAGAGAAACGGGGCTGTCACAGTGGCCCGAGGCTAAAGGGAAGAGGAGAGATTAAGTAGGAAGCTGTCAGCTGTATAAATGAGAGACTGATTCCAGACAGCACAGATCCCTCTGCCTCGTGATGTCCCTTGTGTTTACCCAACCATCATTAGTGTCCATAGCCATCGCCATCAACTCCAGTGTAGCACATGGAGTCAGTCAGCATCGCTTCAACTGACAAATAATCAGAACCGTCGCTTTCTCCTACATGGCAGCCCCACCTGTTTCTGGAAAAGTTTCACGTACTGCTGTGGGTCAGCACTGAGTTTAAAAGTAATCAGAGAAGCCCATAACACAGTCAACACATTTCCACTCTCAGAAGAAAAGTGCTTGATGTACACATGATCAAAGTGCCAGGGCCTGAGCTACAGTAAACGGAGATCAAGGGCTAAACTTTGCAAACAAGACAATTTTAAATATGATGATTTGGTCACAGTTTGAGTTATTTGGTGAAAATATCAATTGTAGTAATTCAGCAGCTACTAACATGCTTTATATGTTCATTCCGAAATATTTTGATAAGCTGGTTCAATACTTTGACTTTTGCTTCAGTTTGTAAACTGTTCACAGTAATGCACTTACAATGGAAGTCTGTGGGTCTTTGCATCAGCATAAATGTTAAAATAGATACTGTTTCAAAAGTATAGCTGTAAGACTGCAGAATTATATGTTAACATACTAAAATTGATTTAACACCAGCATTGTTTAAAATAGTTACTATTTGGCTTACCTTTGTGTTTTCATTTTGAAAGAACATGCACGTTTCAATCAAGTAGCTCAATCAAAAAGGTATATCCCTGTGCTAAGTTCCCCAATATTCACATGTCATGACAAATTAAACGAATTAAGTTTTGCATGGTATGTGTAAGGACATCACAAAATGACCAATTAAAAAATTATGCTAGTAACACATAACCAGGAGTTCATCCACCTAAAACAGCAATTAAAAACTGCTAAAAAGATCATTTAGACAACTTTGCATTTCAAATACCATGCATTTTTGTACAGACAAGTAATACAATCACAAAATTATAAGTCCTAAACAGTACACTTCTCGTGTAAATGCAATACTTTAAACTTTTTTGCAAAGTAAGGAATGAGTCAAAATGTATTTATGATAAATTTACATTTACATTTAGTCATTTAGCAGACGCTTTTATCCAAAGAGACTTACAAATGAGGACAATGGAAGCAATCAAAATCAACAAGAGAGCAATGATATGCAAGTGTTATAACAAGTCTCAGTTAGCTTAACACAGTACACGTAGCAAGGTTTTTTTATTATATAATAAATAAAAAGAAAACAGATAGAATAGAAAAAGAATAGAGCAAGCTAGTGTTTTTTTTTAAGAACACAAGCAGTTAGTAAATGAATAGAGCGCAAGTTTAAAAGGGGCATGTTTTTTTAAAGAATAGAACTAGAATAGAGAGGCCTTTTTTTGCATTTGTTAATTATAGAATAAATTAAAAGAAAACAAATAGATAGAATACAAAAAGATAAGAGACGCTATTGTTTTTTTTAAAGAACACAAGCCGTTAGTAAATGAATAGAGTGCAAGTCTAAAAGGGGCAAGTTTTTTTATAGAATTAGAAATAGAGAGTGCTAGAGAATTAGAAAGAATAGAATTAGAATAGAGAGAGCTAGAGTTAGAGGGTCAAATAAAGATGGAAGATATGTGTTTTTAGCCGATTCTTGAAGATGGTTAAGGACTCAGCTGCTCGGATTGAGTTGGGCAGGTCATTCCACCAGGAGGGAACATTTAATTTAAAAGTCTGTGAAAGTGATTTTGTGCCTCTTTGGGATGGCACAATAAAGCGATGTTCACTTGCAGAATGCAAGCTTCTAGAGGGCATGCAACTTGTAGTTCTTGTGTTTCATTGGTCCTCTTGATTGCTTTCCCAGGTGTGTCTTGTTACCTTGTCATCTTGTTAGTGTCTCTGTGTATAACAGTCCTGTGTTTTAGTCAGTCTGAGTCAGTCGTTGTCTTTGTGAAGTTGTGGCGTGTTGTTTCTTTTGCCTGGTTCTCTCCAAGTTATGTTCATCGTTTGATGCTCTGGATTACTTTTGTTTTATTAAACTTCCTACTGCTTGCATTTGGATCCGACCTCTGCTCTTCCTTGCACTGACGTTTAAACATGCGTAACAGCTAGCATCACTCAAATTTTTCTCAGAAATGTAATAATCTAGTTTATATTCTACATTGCAATTTTGAGCAAGTGGTATTTTTGAGTTTGTGATGAGCACTGTAACATAGTCACTGAGGAGAGTTTTGCACTCTCTGGCATTTAAATATGATTAAGCCATTCAGAGAAATGTCCATTATCACAGTGCAACTGGATAAGGGCAGCGAGAAGTAAATCATATCAGCTCAATTACAGCAGAGACCACGGCTCAGACAGACACCCGCACACGGCTCGGCTTCCCGAGGTAGTTCGCTCTCTTCTGAAAACCGAGAAAAGCTCTCAGAACATTCTGTCCCAAGAGGTTTCCAGGACACATAAAATTGAGAGTTTCTCTCTCTGTTCATACTCTAACTTGGCTTAACAAGCTCTGGCTTTCGTTCTCAAAGTGAAAGTGCAAAACAAGCACCACATGGTTAATGTGGCCTTTCTGACCTTTACTGCTTTTTCCAGTGTCTCTTTCTCAGATTTATTCGAAGAGCCAATTACCACAGCTTCACAATACAGTGTGTTAGAGCCAGATATATCAGCATGGCCAATAAAGACTGCCCGCTAAGAGCCTTCACTAAGCACTGGGGAGGAATGCATTGAGAGGGAGAGTTCTGAATGGACAGGACAGGAAGTGAGAAAGAGAAATGGATTGAAACTGGGGGTATTGCAAGACAGAAAAAACACGCACACACATACAGTATATATATATATATAAATATTTCCTAATATGTGTATACAGCCGATACTGATAAGCTGATCATTATTTTCACACTCAAAATCATTTAACAGATACATTGTCAATCCTAAAATACTATAATATTTTGTCTGAATACATAAAAAAATGCTAAACAAACTTTTAACCTTTAAACATTCATATTACTGATTTACTATTGAATGTAAATCTGCTTGAAGTGATGTATAAATCACTACATATATCAAACTGACTAACTTGACTTGATTAACTTTAATTGAGCATTACATTATGATGGCAAAGAAAATATAAATGTAAAAACAAGGAAACGAGCATGCAAAATTAATGATCTAATATTGACTGATATATTATGAATACTGAATGATTAATGAGTTATAACATACATGCGATAATATACAAAAACATGTATATAAAGAGACTAGAATATCATATCAAATATATGTTGTTATGGCTTTTAAATAGACCATTTTCCTATTATGAACTGCTTTGAACTTATATTTACAATCTTTACTATGAAATAAGTAGGTGGTAATATGTCGTCATATTTCCCTACATACGAGGATTATTCGTTTACACCTTCAAAAGCTCTTGGTGCGACTGCCAAACATGATGCTATTTTGAGCTGTGTGAATCGTTCCAGCATTGTAGGAGGCTACAGGCTAACACGGTTTTAGGCATAAGGAGGGCCGCCCTCTTACCCCATACACGTGCTTGGCTCCGGCCTTGGCAGCAAACATGGAGAGGATGCCAGTACCACTCCCCACGTCCAGCACGATCTTGTCCTTGAAGATGTGTTTGTTATGGTGCATGGAGTTCCTGTATGTCAACGTCCTCACTTCATCCTTTAGCATTTCCTGTACATTCATGCACAGATATACACACATGGTCACACTTTATTTTATGGTCCAATTCTCACTATTAACTTTTATTAACAATGACTTTTGCCTCAATAAACTCCTAATTTGCTGCTTATTAATAGTTAGTAAGGTAGTTGTTAAGTTTATGTATGTGGTAGGATTAAGGGATCTAAAATATGGCCATGCAGAATAAGGCGTTGATATGTGCTTTAGAAGTACTAATAAACAGCTATTATGCTAGTAATATGAATGTTAATAAGAAAGTACTTTAATATTGAGAATTAGTCCTTAAAATAAAGTGTTACCATATGCACAGTTTGTTCTGTTTTGTAACATAATGATTGTGTTTCAAATCTTGGTGAGCTCCCGTCAATGTTTGAAAATGTGTCTCTAACAGAAAACTACCGTGGCATAGTATATAATCATGGTTGTTTGGACATGGTACTATAGTTTATTGTAACTCTGAGTGCCATTTAAATACAATGGTAGACCATAAAAAAAAGATTTTTCGAAAGTTGTAAATAAAAAAAAAGTACTGGAGTAGGCTTTACAAGAAAAGACTATTTCAGTTTTCCTTCTAAAATATCCCTTTTAATTCAGTGTTCTACTTCCTGTTTCTTTGTAATTATTTGTGGAATTTACTAGCAATTTCTGAGTGGATGGGATACCATCCTACAGCATGGTATATATTAAATAAAAAACAATGGTATCACTAATAGATCACTATAGCATGGGTTTGCTAGTTCTTTTTTGTAGGGCATATAAGATATTGTCTAGGTAGGCAGCTCAGGTTTTGTATTGAAACACACCCAATGAATTATTCAGTCCTCACCCTTAAGCAAAAATGTACCATGGTGTTGTTTTTGGACATGGAAATATCAAGGTATATCTTGGTAAAATATGCAGTCTCAATAGATACAGTATCACTCAGTTTAAAACACAGCCAACAAATTATTCAGTAGTTTTAAAAGATGTTAAACCATATAAAGCCTTCTGTATCATATTTGATGCACACACATTTCTAAGGGCTCTAAATGATCAACATTTAAATATCATCTTACTGTGACATATTATTAGGAGATAAGAGTGACAAATGATATTTATATGCATTTTATGGAAGTAGTCTGCTCTACTGTTTTAAAGATCTCATTTATTTACATATACAGGGTTAATAAGGCAATGTGATTATTAAATCTAATCCATGAAAATTCAAAACCTAGTGATCTGCCTATCTAGGCGACAATTTAGGGCATTATAAGTGTGTTCAAAAATACCTATACTAACAAAGCATTATGGTATTGTCTTAGATTTTTGGTCATGATTCTTTGAAGTACTTTGGAGTGCATAAAAACATGTAATTATTTATTTTGGAGTTCCATAAAAACATATATTAATCAGGTAATCATTTCACAACCATGGTTATTATTACAAAAACAAATATAAGACTACTACATGGAACTGTGAGAATGAAAAACTTGCTTTACCATTACAACATGTCTCCTCAGATCTATGCGGCTGTCACATGGAGATGAGGGAAGGGAAAAAGATCTGACCTATATACTAAAAATGAGTCTGAACAAAATTAATCTTGCAGGTCTCGCCGTTTTGTATTGAAACACACCCAATGAATTATTCAGTCCTCACCCTTAAGCAAAAATGTACCATGGTGTTGTTTTTGGACATGGAAATATCAAGGTATATCTTGGTAAAATATGCGGTCTCAATAGATACAGTATCACTCAGTTTAAAACACAGCCAACAAATTATTCAGTAGTTTTAAAAGATGTTAAACCATATAAAGCCTGTATCATATTTGATGCACACACATTTCTAAGGGCTCTAAATTATCAACATTTAAATATCATCTTACTGTGACATATTATTAGGAGATAAGAGTGACAAATTATATTTATATGCATTTTATGTAAGTAGTCTGCTCTACTGTTTTAAAGATCTCATTTATTTACATATACAGGGTTAATAAGGCAATGTGATTATTAAATCTAATAAATGAAAATTCAAAACCTAGTGATCTGCCTATCTAGGCGACAATTTAGGGCATTATAAGTGTGTTAAAAAATACCTATACTAACAAAGCATTATGGTATTGTCTTGGATTTTTGGTCATGATTCTTTGAAGTACTTTGGAGTGCATAAAAACATGTAATTATTTATTTTGGAGTTCCATAAAAAAATATATTAATCAGGTAATCATTTCACAACCATGGTTATTATTACAAAAACAAATATAAGACTACTACATGGAACTGTGAGAATGAAAAACTTGCTTTACCATTACAACATGTCTCCTCAGATCAATGCGGCTGTCACATGGAGATGAGGGAAGGGAAAAAGATCTGACCTATATACTAAAAATGAGTCTGAACAAAATTAATCTTGCAGGTCTCGCCTGAACCTCCTGTTCTCCGTGCTCTCTCATCCTATAATTCAGTGACACCCCCACCCCGTCTCTCTCCTGCTCCATTTCTCTGCATACTCTGCATTATACATAACACCCAGCATAAATCAACATGAGTGATGTCGATAACCACGAGTACTTATATCCTACATCACACGTCTCAGCATCTCTGTTAAATGCAAGCCACCGCTGCTCTTATGTGCTCATACCTCATGAATGCCAAAGTGGGCGTACGAGTCAAAATAGTAATCCCTGGAGGTCATCTCGTCGGGGTTGAGGAACTTGGCCATCTTTCCTCTGCCAGGGCAGCTGGGTAAGTTGGCTGAATGAGGGGTGTGAGGCGTGTGAGACGGGTGTGTGGGCCGCTGGGCATGATGGACTGATGACACTGGTTTGGGCAGAGGAGACGGCTGGACCGACTGGGATGGGGCAGCACTCAGGGGCTGTTGCTAGAATGGGGAAACACCATAAAATATTTAGATGCTTAAACCACCCTTAAATGTGTTTCAATGTCTAACAAAATATCGAACTGAAGTAACTGAAATAAAATAAAAAATATATATATTTTTTATTATTATGGAAGGCTGTTTACACCATGGAATAAAAAATAAAGGTAATTGTGGCATTTTATCTTACAATTCAGACTTGTTTTTTCACAATTCTGAGTTTATATCTCACAAAGATAAAAATAATTGTGAGATGTAAAGTCAGTATTGCGAGATATTAACTCAAAGTTGCGAGAAAAAAGGTCAGAATTGTGAGATAAAAAGTTGCAATTACCTTTTTTATTCTTTATTTGATGGCGGAAACAAAAAACAGAACTGTGAACAGAACTCGGAATTGTGCGGGGGGAAAAAAAATCTGAATTCTGAGTATATCTCACAATTCTGACTTTTTTTCTCAGAATTAGGAGTTTACGTGAAACTAAGAAAAGGTCTAACTTTCTTTTTCCTATGCTGTTTGGTTTGATATGTTTCTAATACAATAACATTACGATTTTTAAGAGGCCAAATAATTATTGGTGTGACTGTATTACTAAAATGTAAGGTATTATAGATTATTTGATATATTAAGGTATAAAATAGTGTTGTATTGTTATTTTTAATTGTTTTGTTTTGTTTTGAAATATAACCTGGGCAGTTGTTAATGATATCACCCCAACTGACAGATTAATGTGGTGTATGATCCTTCAAAAAGCAAAATGAACAGTGACACTATATTAAGTACTGTTTAAAAACTCTCCTTTATCATGTCAGGAGAGCCTTCCCAGAAGGTCTAGTATCTGTCTGTGAGATTTTGGAGACCTGACAGAGGCAGTTTGTGCCCTGCGAGCAAAGGGAGAACAGGACAGTTAGATTGGCATGGAAACGACTTAAGACAAGCATTACATATCATGGTAAGTCTCTCGGACTCTGATTAGTGCATCTACATCCTGCAGAGAAGCTTGGCCCTTCCTCTGCCTTGCAGAGAAAATACTAATAAACCATTATACCACATTACAAACAACAAACGGGTATGAAAATGCAATTTGAGCCACTGAAAACTTTGACATACACATAAAAGACATTTTCTTTGATTTTTAAAAAATATTAATATATTGAATATAATATAATTTCTATTAATTATCTATATAATTATATATTTTTTATTTTTATATATAAATATAATATATATTTGTTATGTATTGTATAATTTTATATATTTAATATACAATAAAATAATATTTAATAAATTTCTTTAAGGGTCCTGGAATTAATTCGCTGGCCCATTGGCCCATGGCTCTGTCAAGTTTAAAAACACATAATCTAGAACTTTTTTGTCATACAGAAGCATGAAACTCTTAATGTTGGACCCTAATATCCTACATATCTCATATGCTGTTTTGCAATTGTGTGATAGTGAAGATATGTGTGCCTGTTTTTGTATTTGCATAAGTGTACCTACATTTGCCTGTGGGTGGGTGTGCAGCCTGTCAGCTCAGGAGATTTCAAATAATGAGTGTCAGCAGAAGGGAAGAGCAGCTGTATCAAGAGGCATAAAGGTGTTGGGATTGCATCTATTAGAATGATGGGAGGGGGAACACATGTCCTTGCCCCCTCCAGTCAGCTAACAAATCTCATTCACATTCTATTTTTAACCTCAACAAATGGCTCTTTTCGGCAACACTCTACCTTACAGCCATGCTCTTGAGAACTCTAATAGTTTGTTCATGACATAACTGGATTGATGTGCGTGAGAGGAAAAATAGGTGCTCTTGGGATCCTTTCATAAATGGAACTACCAGAGTTTTTTTTCTAGTGTAGGTTTATGACAGGGACCAACTTAAGAGTTTAAGAGTTGTTTTGCATTGCATATCTAAATCATTAATATGTTTAGAACAGCTCTTATGAATTTTGCAGCTTTACGGGCAGCCCTCTCTGCTTTGGCTGGTCATTGTCTAATAAAGCTGCAGCTTCCAGTGTGCATTTCAGAGCTAAGTGGTGTTTTCTAAAGCAAGAATCATAACTGTAAGCTTTATACTTACACTGAAACCCACTGGCCTGCTGACCTTGAAGTGCACAACAGCTCCTCTTTTGAAAGGCAATGAAACCTCTCAAACAATTGCATTCAATACATTGGAGAACATTTAGATGCAGCTATTCTGTCAATTAATTTTGTGTCAACTCAACCAGAGGTCCCTAGCTAAAAAATTTTTAAACAAATGGCTCTTTTATGAACTGATCACTGAAATGTTCTTTGGGGAACCAAAGGTGTTTCCTCAGTCATTGCTGTAAAAACACCTTTTGGAACCTTTCTTTTTAAGAGTGTAGTTCCATCTGCTCTCGGTGGAAGCCTGTTTGACAGACTAACAGTCCTAGTGCAGAGCAGTCTTGCTATTTTGGGAGAGGTTTCAGAGATCAGGCAGCATACATCAGAGGGGTTTTAAAGATCCCTTGACATTATACAGTGACCTACTGCTGCACTGAACTTTGAGGAACTATTATAATAACAGATTCCTTATATACAGCCCTTTTCTTCATCATTTAATGAACATGAATTAGATTTCATACTTTCGTGACTATGCCAATTCATTCCAGCTTGCTAATCCCTCATTGAGTATTAGACAAGGTTCAAGGCCACTAATGAAACTGGAATTCATCAAAGTGTTTTGCTCAGTGGCAGCACTGGATTGCAACCTCACTAACCTTTCCGTCCCATGAATGTTTCCACTTCTTAGAAGTCCTGAGATATAAACCACCAGCTATGTGGATGATGACTCAGATACTTAGCTTTCTGCCCTACTATAAATGGACTTCACTGGCCTTTTGCTGCCCTAACTAAAACTCTGGCTTCTCGCTGATATGGGACACTCAAGTAGAGCAAAAGTGCTTGCGAGTGTGGGCCCAGGGCCAATTCCGATTTTAAGATGTCTTCCTCTATACGACAACACAAAGTGATTCCAAAGCTTTGATAGTTCCCAGGCTAGTTATCACATAGTGCTTGTGATCTCAGAAATGAGGTTGAGTCAGTAATAAACGTCCAGTAACATAAATGCTTGATTTCTCGCATGTGCTTACACTCTAAAAAATGTTGGGTTAAATATAACCCATCGCTGGGTTAAAAAGGGACAAACCCAGCTATTGGGTTGTTTTGACCCAGCTATTGGGTTGTTTTGACCCAGCGGTTGGGATGTTTTGAACCCAACTGCTGGGTCAAAACAACCCAATAGCTGGGTTTGTCCCTTTTTAACCCAGCACTGGGTTATATTTAACCCAGCATTTTTTAGAGTGTATCTACACTCAGAAAAAAGGGGACAAAAGCTGTCACTGGGTTAAAGGGTACATATTGATATCTTAACAATACACACCTAAAGTGTACATATTAGTACCTAAAAGGAACAAAAGTGTACCTTTCGTAAGGTACCACCCCCAGTGACAGCATTTGTATTTGTACACTCTAAAAAATGCTGGGTTAAATACAACCCAGTGCTGGGTAAAATAGGGACAAACCCAGCAATTGGGTTGTATTTACCCAGCAGTTGGGTTACTACCCAGAAGGTTGGGTTAAACATTTAACCCAACCGCTGGGTCAAAACAACCCAATTGCTGGGTTTGTCCCTATTTTACCCAGCACTGGGTTGTATTTAACCCAGCATTTTTTAGAGTGTAGTTAATACTGTTAGTTAACACTGTTTACATGAGGGCAAAATGTCTTAAGGTTTTTTTGTTGTTGTTAACAAACAATTAAAATTTTTAGAGCTTTATATATTACATAGGCTATACATACATATATATACACTTCATATACTCTTTTTTCCCTTTTTTTTTTAAACAGCTGCTCTCCCCGACGCAGGTGCAGCACCAAGGACAGCGACCAGACTCCACAACCCCTGAACCAAAGATCACAGAACATTAGCAGCTTTGACTCAACTAATTAGTCATTTCGCTTACGCTTTATACAAAGTGTCTCATAGACAGTACACTTATTTCAGGAGCAGTCTCTCTGGAGTAGACTTGAAGTTGTGTGTGTTACTCGATGGATTAACCTTTGCGGAATTTGAACCTACAACCTTTTGGTAACCAGCCCAGACTTTAACCATTTGTCCACCCCAAAGCAGCGTTTAATTATGCAACCAACCAACTTGAATTCGCACGCGAGTGGGTTTACAAACTTGTCATGTATATATAAAAACATTTAAAAACATTTTCAAATAATATTTCACTAACCATAAAAGTAAGAGTACACGTTACGCATAGGTGCCAATAAGCCATAACCATATATAGCAACAGAACGGCCCTCGAACGCTTTCCGTTCAGGACCAGAATTGACAAAACCCAAATACTGTCAATATTTGTCACTTTATGTATTATAGCATTTATAGGTTTACATTTCATTAAAAATAAAGTGTTTCTTTAAAAAACAACTGTAATGTGGTTTGCGCGAGAGAAACCTCAACAAACGGAGCCGCGACAAATACTCGTTTAAACACGTTGGCCAACGTCAAAGTTCAGTATATAATTCATACACTGGTAGAAACATCGAAAACTCAAAACCTCGAACGTAGAGTTGCTTTTAAACGCAAATATGACCTACTGAAGCTTCGCAACTCAACATTTAATGTCTCGTTTCATTTGATCTGTTAATTCACGTCGCTTACCTCAGTGCTCTCCGCATCCGCCATTTTTCTCCTGAGGAGCAAACAGCGCGAGGAGTGTTTCATTCCCATAATGACAAAAACCCTCTTCAAAAGTCTTCAGAAATCCTGCAGCCTTTGCGTAATTACCTCACGAAACCGCAGAATGAATTCGAATCACGTTCCAGAAGATAAACGAGCCCTAAAACTTGTTGAAAGCCCTCTTGAATCCATGGTATAAAAGTTACCTACAGCAGCGGTTCCCGAAGGAGCGCACGGCGAACTCTCCATATCGTGGGAAAAAATATTATGTACTTATAAAAAGAGCACCCCGTCGTTCCATGACTGGAGTAATATGAGATCAGCTGGTCAATAAAAGTGTTAATCATTCATATCTCAATCCTTTGGATCTGGAATAAAGTCCCCAAGTAACCCTTTAAAATCTTATGGAGATCCCTCGTGCACCACACAAATCTCTCTCTCTTTATTATAGGCTGGTATTTCAGTGAGACAAGAAATATTGCTAGTTGCTGCTCTCAAATCGCTCGTTGATCACTGATGAGATTCTCTTACAGTAAAAGTGGCTCAAAGACGCTGCTCCGAATCTGATCTTCAAAGATGTATGGTCCCTTTCAGAAAGTAGCGAACGTTTAAAGTTCCTCTTAGGAGCTTCCGAAGGATCTTAAAGGACAAACCAGGTGGATTCCTTTAAATGGAGCAGCGGGAGCCAATGAGATGTGTTTCCACCTCGCCTCCATCCCTCTGACCGGCTGAACGCGATGAGGAGCTGAGCAGGTCCCCCAGTGCTGCTATCATCCGGAAGCCCCCACCCTCGGTAAACTTCAATTAGTACACACAAATAATAATCTACTTAAATTAGCGGAAGAAAAACACATCAGGAGTTGTTTATCCTTTGTTCCTTTGCGTTTAAATGTGCAACATATGTCATTTGAGACATATTATTAAAATGTTTACTATCACACAAGCTAAAAACTCCATACTGGTCTTCTGAAATAGTTTTTTTTATTTTTATAGTTATTATTTTGTTGTGCGCTGCATGTTGGCATCAGTATTTTTATTTCCATTTGTTAATATTTTTTTCTTTTGGTAATCATTCATTTTTTTTTCATTACTAATTAAAGATGATTTATTTATTTATTCCAATTGAAAAATATATACACTGTAAAAAAAAAAAAATCAGTAAAATTTACTGTAAAAAAGCGGCAGCTGCGGTTGCCGGAATTTTACCGTAAAAAATACGGTAGCAGCGCTTTTAGGTTTTAACTTAAATTTACAGTTAAATACCGTAATTTCATTAACTGATATAATGTTAATATACCAACCTATTGAAGTACTGAAATCTGTTTTGTACCTTTGTAATACACCGATAACCACCAAATGCAGGAGGTGATGAGAAAGTCATATGATGAACCAAAGCCCATCACAAGCAGCTTTTAAATAATAACATGTATAGAAGGTGAACAGTGTCATTCACACAAACACCAAACAGCATCATGGTAACACACATGAAACTGAAATAATGCAATAAACATTCATTTAACAACATTAGGTGTAACACACAACCCTAATATACAAAACTGATAAGAAAAAACAGTTATTTCAACAAAAAAACATCAAATTTTGTTGATGTAAAAATGTAAGGTATTCTGGGAATGTCAATTTACGGTTATTCACTGTAAATTATACGGTCTTTTTCCACTTCCAAAAATGGTATACTACTGTAAAATTTATGTCCAATACATGTAATGTCCAATACAGTTTTTCACCGTATATTGTAGGGGCATTTACCATTAACCATTTAACAGGTTTTTACTGTAGCATTTTTACAGTCTTTTACCGTTAAATTCACGGTCATTTTTTACAGTGTAGGCTACATAATGAAATGATTAGAAAACGTTTACAATCACATAAAATGAATAATCCAGACATGTCAGTCTTCAAGAAATAGCCATGTTGTCATTTATTATCATTATTATTATTATTATGGTAATCATTCATTTGTCATTATTAATTAATACATTATTATTTATTTATTTATTTTTAATTTTGCTCCTTTATCAACCCTCTTTGTGCTTTATCAGTGTCCTCACATTTATATCATATCTCTCTTATTCCTTTTAAATATCATAGCATATCTTCTGAAACTGCTGGGCTCCTTTTTGGTTCAAAGAGCTAATGACAGCAGGGTGGATGTAACATCCACTCTCACTTTGTACTGCGTTGAAGAGCTGCTGTTAGCTGTGATGTACTATGAATTACCTCTCTTGGCCTTATCGGATCACTCTCATCTTACAAAGTGCAGTAATTTAAGATATAGCCCTCTCATCTCCTAGCATAGGATAGGTAGTAAAGTGCCTGTGTCTCGTTGGTGTAGGGGTAAGATTCTCGCTTAGGGTGCGAGAGTTCCCTGTTTCAAAATCCCAGATGAGCCTGCTTTGGAGCCTCTTTTGGGGAAGTCGTGACCTAATGGTTAGAGAGTTGGACTCGTAATCCAAAGGTTGTGGGTTCGAGTCTTGTACCGGCAGGGATTGTAGGTGGGGGAGTGAATGTACAGTGCTCTCTCCCACCTTCAATACCACGACTGAGGTGCCCTTGAGCAAGGCACCGAACCCCCAACTGCGCTGCAGCAAAAAATGGCTGCCCACTGCTCCGGGTGTGTGTTCACGGTGTGTGTGTGTTCACTGCTGTGTGTGTGCACTTTGGATGGGATAAATGCAGAGCACTCTCTTCACTCACACTAGTGTGAAACAAGCAACTGGATGGAACAAACGAGTCTCAACAAAAAATCTCCCTTGGTGGATGTGTTGGATATGGTATTCCTCAACTGCTGAATATCTAGAATGATGTCTGTGTGATTGCATTGATTTCATTATGCAACATGTTGTTGAATGCTATTTTAAACTTATTTTTAATTGCATTTATAACATTTAGGAGAACTAAATATAGAAATGAAGTGTTGGAAATGTGTGTGGGTTTTTGAGTCTTTAATTATTAAAGTAGAAGGATTATTGTAAATCACTTGAAATAATCTGGCTTTTCTTTTATTTGCATATTAAGATAAGGATTGCGGCAGCCAAGAATTTTGAGTGGAGCATGAGGGAATATTATGCACGCTTTTGAGAGCTGTGGGAGTTGTGGTGCTAGAACAGGAGCATGGGATTGTGGGTGTTTCAGGAAGATTAAGCCGAACTGTGCACTAAATGGTTGGACAGGCATGGATATGCAAGGTTTTTACGCAATCTCAGACTTTACAGAAAATATATCAAACTGACTGCAGCCATGCTGGCTGAAGGAAAATACGTTTGTGTATAGGTGCAAAGAGGCAGGATGCATTTTGGTTTGTCTTCATGAGTTTTAGTGAAGAGACAGACTATATGTTGTTTTAATGGTAATTCAAAAAGCGTTGGGTGCAATATATATATATATATATTTTTTTTTTTTTGTGTGTGTGTGTCATTTGTGGGGTTGTCTTGTGTTGTACATGTAGAAAGTCATGATGCTGGATCATGGGGTTAATCTCACACTTTTCATGAGCGCCCCCTTGGTGTTTAGCAACTCCAATGGCATGTATGGAGCAAACAACAATTTGCTGCTGATGAAAAGTTCACCTATATTTCATTATAAATATAAAAATGAAAAAAATATAATATAATATAAATTTAAATTATATAATATTATACTATTATATTATATAGATATTATTAGATACTAAGGGAGAAAAAATATTCTTGGTAATATATTTGACAAGATATTGAGCACCAATTAATGAATATACCAAAATGTATGCATACCCAGTTGTGACACCTGCTAACCCACAATTGAGCCATCACTCTGAGCCCTAGAGCTCTTATAATTGGATGATTGTAAGGTGGATATGGCATGTGTGAAAACTCATTAACCTTGTTGCATGTGGCCAGTGTGATGAATGTAAGTTTTTTAATTTGTTATCATGGAACTATATTGAAGCATTCGAGACAAGATCCCAAAGTGTTTCTATGTAAAGAATGACATCAAGGCTCTACACGAGCTGTAGTAGTTTAGCCAGCAGAGTTGTTTTTTTGCTAATTTGCTGACAATTCACTCATTCTCAGACCATCGAAGATGTAAATGAATTTGTTTCTTCATCACTTCCAAACCAATGGATCCTCTGCAGTGAATGGGTGCCATCAGAATAAGAGTCCAAACAGCTGATAAATACATCACAGTAATCCACAAGTAATCAACATGACTTCAGTCCATCAATTAACGTCTAGTAAAGTTAAAGGCTGCATGTTTGTAAGAAACAAATCCATCATTAAGGCATTTTAAACTGTTTTGGCCTGTAAATGGTGCTTGATTTGTGCATATTCCTCTCCTGATTCAGACAAGACAACTTTTTCACTGGAGAAAGCGAATATCATGTTTAGAGAATTTGTATTTTAGCCAATGCTTTGAAGTTAGAAAGGCACATCTTTTCACAAGCTGTTAATTGTTGGATTGGAGTCATGTGGATTACTTGTGGGTTATTGTAATGTTTTTATCAGCTGTTTGGACTCTTATTCTGATGGCACCCATTCACTGCAGAGGATCCATTGGTGAACAAGTGCTACATTTCCCAAAACTGTTCTGATGAAGACACAAACTCATCTAAATTTTTGGGTGAACTATTCCTTTAAATAAAAGGAATAGTTAATTCTTTGGAAAAGTAAGGCAGTGCTAAAAGAACAATCTGTGTTTTGACAAACCTAGCCTATGCATGGAAAAAAAACCTACAAAATATACATATCTTTTCACAGTTTCAGCAAGGTTGTTGTGACACTTTAGTAATTAGTAAAGAGTAAAAGAAAAAAGTTCCGAGTTGCAGCAGACTGTTCTAATGTTTTGTATTCTCTGTACTTTGTAATGTTATTATGAATCTGTACTGTATGCAATCGACCGTCACACAACTCAAATAACAATTCAGTTTGTTAGCAGTGTGGTTTGGTGTTAATAAGGTGAAATGTCAGGTACTTTTGAAGAACACCCTTTCACATTAGGGGCAAGCTGCTCTTGTTTGCAGTAATTGACTCTTCTGCGCACACTTCTCTTTGAGCTGCTGCAGCAGTGTTGTACTTTCATATTTGCATCCTTTGTGCTTTTATCTTCTGAATGTTTGAGTGTTTGAAATGGTTTATCTGTTACTTTGACAAGCAGGAATGGGTACAGTGGCTTACAGAGTAAAGAAACATCAACTGAGCCTTTGTTTTTAACATGACAAATGCATCAATGTGATCAGAAATTGAA